TGTGTGTGTGTGTGTGTGTGTGTGTGTGTGTGTGTGTGTGTGTGTGTGTGTTACCACAGTCACTTGGGCTGGCCAGTGGAAAGTGGGCTGGAACCTAATGATTCAAGGCAAGGCTGTGAAGGGCACCTTGAGCTTAACCACAGCCTGTTCTGGTCCTGTAGCCAAGTCCTGATAAAGTTGAGAGGGTGTGAGAACCCCATGTCCTCCCGACTCAGGCTCTGCCCAAATCACAAGGGCAGCGGTATGCTAAAGTCATGCAGAAACCATGTAGCAGCTGCTCAAAAAACTGGTGGCTTCAGTTACTCATTGGATCAGGGGTTCTTAATGCTGAAGCCCATGAGCCTTTGCTCTGTGTGCCCTGTGTACACACTGGCTTTGTCAGGAGACTGAATCAACTGCCTTCATTAGACCCTCCCAAGGTGCCCATGACCAAAGAACAGTGGCAAGCCATCATGCCACACCATTAGTTACTGATGTACATACAGCACGGCTCCCTTATGCAGCCCCAGAGGCTGACTCTGCACCAGACTCATTGCAAGCACCTGAAGACGATGGTGCCTTGTGTCTACTAAGCACTTAGCACAGAGCTCGGGGCACAGCTACTCATTCGCAGAATCTCCCATGAGCGTCACAACAATCTGGAAGGCATGACCACTTTCTTCCTTCACAGAAATGAACTGGAGTATGAAAACCAGGGTTGGAAGCAGCATGGAATGACTGAATACTTCCATCCCTGAGTTTCCCAAGGATCCCCAGCCCAGCACTGTCTCATCCTGCATACCCTCTTGGGGGTGAGTCTTGACAACTGACTATATTTGTAGTCCCTCCACCATTGTGGAACTTGGCAATTACTCTCTAACTAAAGGTGTAGTCAGTAGGGAAGGAAGCATCAGCTTCTTGGGATCCAAAAATATCATTCTTGTCCATTAAATCTGACCCTCTGGAAGTGAATCTCAACAAGCCTTCTAGGAGGTATGGACGCCTGCTCAAGCTCAACTGGCAGCTTCAAGCACTGTGTGGGTCTGGGGGTTCTCATTTAGACTTGTCACCCAGGGCCATCCATCTACTGGCAGTCACCCAAAAGGGAAGAACTTCTCACATTTCCCAACACCTGATTCATTTGAGACAAACAACCAGGTGCTCCTCAGAGGCCTTCCATAAGTCTGCCTCAACAAAGCCCCTTTGGTCAGTGCATGGTCTGGTCTGAGCACCTGGGTACATGCTACACAGTTCCACAAGGCACGTTTACTATTGTGTTTCATGGATATGTCTGCTTCAGGGTATAGAAACTACTCCTGTTCCCATTATCCCTGTGGTCTGTCAATCAACACACAGGAAAATTCAGAAGACAGTGTTGACTGGACACCACTTGAACAGGATCAGAAGTTATCAGGTAAATAAATAGATTGCTCACCTACCTGAAAGACTACTGAGTCGTTTTTGCTGTTCTGTGATGAAAGAAAAGAACACAATGTAAGTAGTATTTATGCAGCACCTGGTGAGACAGAGAAGCCCCAGAATGATTAATTAGGACCAAATACTCTGGTCCTTGCTGTCTTCTGGGCTTGGATGTTAAAATACACGCCCCAGCTGAGGCAGTAGTCAAGATGTAGCTCCAATGATCCAGCCAAGAGGTTCCCCAGCTCCCCAACTACAGATCTGCACCAGGTCTTCGGCCCACCAAAGTGTTCTAGGACTTCCCATCTTGTCTCAAGGTGACCTCTTCACTTATGACCCTTCCCACCTCACATGGACCTCTTAACATACCAGACTCGGTACCTTCTGGCAGAGCTATGAGAACAATCGGGGACATGGCGACTGCCAGCTCCTGAGCTTGCCAATGCCAACCCCGTTGTAAGAGTCTTTTCATCTACCACTTGAAATCTTCTTAGCAACAGCCTCGCTGTTAGGTACAGCTATTTTCCTCAATGAAGATCCTCAGTACTGTAGCTTAGTCACCAAACATCTGCCTATTCCAGGGTAATGGAGAAAGTCTAAAAATAATCAGCATGAGCAAAGCGACCTCACCAGGATAAGGGTCTTAGATTACTCAAGGTAACACTGAAAACCATAGGGTTCTAGAAGCAAGATCTCCAGCTCAGAGTCTACAGTTCTTTCCAACCCTCGTGATCTAGTCGCTGCTGTATTGAATGCAGTTGCTCACTCTCCTGGGTCATCACGTGGAGGGGAGGCCAATGTCGTGTTGGCAGCATCCTGTGTGCACTATGTGATAAGCCCAGAAGTAACCTTTACCTTCTACAGCTGCTAAACAGCAAGCAACCAGAGAGATAAAAATAGACCATGCTGGCCCATGCACACTGTCACTGTCCCTAGGGGCCACATTCCTATTCTGTGCTAGAATTAGTATGGAGCAGAAGTAAACAGAGCAGCATGGGAGCTCAAGGCCACTGGACACGGCAGCTGTCCACCTCAGCTTCATACATGGGACTCACACCAGCTGAATTAGTGGACCAGTGGAGTTCTGGGCTTGGCTCTGCTGGCAACTTGCCAGATGACAAAGACCAATAGAGTAGTAACCTCTTGGCTTCCATTTCTTCACCTGTGGTGTCAGAGTACTCTAGTATCTAAATGAATTTATGGGTGCCATGCTCTATTCTGCAAGGTGCCAGGCAGGGCCATCCTTTGCCAGCAGAAGCAAGTGTAAGCAACCGAGAAGATCCTGTTGCTTCTGCTTCAAAGGCAAAATAGCTGTTCTCACAGAATGCCATACAGGCGGCAGCAGGTGTTTTTCAGTCACCAGCACTGGGATGACACTCTGATCCTTCCTGTCCACAGACATGTCTGGGAACCATGGAGATTTTGCTGTCCAAGGTGGTCCACAGCCAACCACAATGGCAAACTTCCTAAAACTCTGGAACCTCGTTCTCCTACCCCATCCCCAGAGCTTCTGAATGTAAACTGTAAGCTAACCAGACTCTCACGATCCAACACACAGTAAAGGCTGAAAGGCCTCGAGCAGGGGACCATGTGCCGCTTTCAGCTCTGTAAGTTTCCCAAGTTGAGCCCTTTCTTCACTGACCGAGGGTGAACAACGCCCGGAACACACTGGTGTGAAGGTTTAAGAACGAGTTGAAAGGGGACAGTGCTGTTCACAACCACCAGAGCTAGGCCAGAGGCTCAGAGCCTGGTGTCCCCTAGGGTCAGGAGGTTGGCCAGGGGAGACAGAATCATTAACAAACTAGGCCCTGTGACAGTCTAGACAGAAAAATAAAGGAACTTTTTTTTTTAAGGATGACTAAAGCAGAAATTTAGATATAGAGTAAAGTTATCACCGCTTAGGAAACTTTGCCACAGTTAAGAAATTGTTCTTCTGTGAAGAGAAGCAGAGATGCCAGGGTGGGTACATTCCAAAGCAGGGGCAGAACACTTGACCCAAACCCCACTGATGGGCACACACTCTCACTCTTCCCTACCGACCCAGCCCTACCTGGGATGAACCCATGGTTTTTCTCCTTACGGGAAACCGCTAGCTAATTAAAAAACAAAACAAGCCCTGTAGCATCATTACGCACAGACTTTTCTGAAGGATGTGCTTTGCTCTGCACAATCCTAATTTTAAACCAAAGGCAGAACTTGGTCAAGAGAAAAACAGGAACCAAAAGTCCTCTTTGATGAATAAGAGAAATTCACTCATTCAAGGGAGAAACAAAGAGGGAAGTCAGGCATTTTGGTGCCTGAAAATGTCCCTGTAGGTGTTGTCAGAGGGACTTGGCAAAAGCAGCTGACATTACGCTTGGCATTTCCCAAAAACCAAGCTGCCTTGGGAATAAATCCCGTTTTTTAAGAAACTGCCTTTCTTTCTGGGAACTAACTTGCTTTTTTAGAATAATGAGTCATGAAGAAGTTCACAGAGAAGCTATTGCTTTTTTCTGCATTTTCCTTTGTTCTGCATGATAGACACTGGCAAAGGGAGCTGCTGCCAGAGAGGGTGTCAGGGCAGAAGGAGAATGGGAGCTTGGATGGAGGGCCCTTCTGTCCTGAGAAAGAATACCAGGGCCACATAGTGCAAAAACAACAATGACAAAAACAGCCTGAAACCACTGAAGCCACCATGTAAACATTTGGGCAAACATTTAAAGTGAGAGAAAATGTTTTAATGCATCTATTTTTCCAGTTAGAAGCAGAAAAGAGAAACCTCTCTTCAGTATGGAAAGCAATGGAAATTGGACTGTAGCCCCATCTCCTCTAAGGGAAGAGCAGGGAAGTGAGTGAGAAGGGTGTCAAGGAAAGAGGGTTTGGAACCAAGCTTTGAGTTACAGACAGTACACAGCCCTGCAGTGTTCCTTCAATTCAATGTAGAAGAGCCCTTTCCTGGGAGATGGCCTGAAAATGTCCCATTTCATGTTGCAAAAGGATTTTCATAAATGCAAAGTTTATTCCTCTGTACAACTCCAAAATGGAAAAGTTGGGATTCAAAACCACTGCCTTAATTTTAAAGCAGGAAGATAAAGCTATACAGTGACTACTTCAAAGCTCTTGGATTTTACCGATGCCCAAGGCTCTTTCAGAGATAGATGCAGCAGGACCAACAAGAACAGCCAGAGAAACTATAGGAACCAAACAGAACCCCTAAACAGCAGAGCTACGTGGGCCATGTGGAATCAGTGCAAACAGACATACAAATCTAGGTTACAGAGGATGCCACTATGAGAAGAGGTGTAGCCAATAACCAGAAGAAAGTCTAGAAGCCTCTGTTACAGAGGCACAAAAGCATCCTTTACATTGTAGACAATCATGTATTCATTCAGTGTTTCCTCTTTTGAAAGTTAGTATTCAAAACTGCACTTTCTAGGAACTTATTACTCTGAACTAGTTAGTCATTTATGTCAGCACTTAAGAGACATACTTGATACTTAAGAGCCACATGCTTGATAAAGAACCAAGAGATACAGAGTTCATCCACTTTTGTGCATGAACTGTTTGCAAATAACCACAAAAAACCAAGGTATCACAAATGGCCATGAACCAGCCCAGCGTATATAGATACCTGACATTATTACAAATCAGGGTCCTCTGTCTCCCTGTTAAGGCTGCTCTCTGGGTCCTATGAGGAAGTAGGGCAGATAGCCCGGGGCAGGGTTGGGGAAACTTTTTTGAAGAAGGAATTTCTTGTCCTAGACATCATGGTTGGAGCTGCTGACTCCAGCACCCCGCAGGTGGCTGCCTTACCTCGATTGTGCTGCAGGAGCACAATGGTGGGGTTGACGATGGTGGTGGAGGGGTAGGCAGACGAAGGTCTGCTTGTTGGAGGGAAGGCTTGGGAATCGGTTTCAATGTGGGAAGAAGAAACTTCATTTACTAAAGGACCACCCTGAAAAACAAAACATTAAGAAGAAGTATAAATACAAGACATCTAGAATTAAGGCTTAGTAAGAAGAGGGAATGAACATCTCTACAAAGACCTTAATTAGAAAAGAAAATGTAACCAGTGAGTCAATTCCAGTTAGAAGTTGAATCTGGAAATTTGTTCTCCTTGTTGGTATTAGTAAGGGGGAAGAGAAGGCATGTCAGTAACTGTTGCTGAGAGTCTCAGGATCGTCCATTATTTTCACCTAGTAATAGTTGGGTATCAATCTGGTTACTGCAAAAGCAAACTCAAACCAAAATAGAATAACATGCAAAACTCATGCAATTCCAAGTGCGATTTAAGCACAAGAGCTGGTGTGAGTGGGAAAAGTCAGGCACCCTCTAGAGAGATGTCAGACAAGGCACTGGTGTAAGAAGAAAGAGGAACCCCTTTGTCATGGACAGTTACTCTGAACATCACTGAGTAGTCAGAGAAGCGCTGAGCAATTTCAGCCGAGTAGGATCCTATCCTGCTGGGACATCTCTTCTTCACTTCAGTGTCAGAACAACAAAAATCCTTGAACAAAGCCATGGGAGAATCTTGACTTTAAAACCTGCAACTCCCACCAGACACATCGACAAATCACACATGCCTTTATAAAATGACAAAGGGATGACGCCCATCTTCTGAAACAAATGAAAAATAGGACCCTAAAATAGGGCATTGACTGGCAAATGTTCCCTCCACCACACTTAGAGGTTCTGAAAAGTTTTTGTTTTATATCTTCCAAATCTTAAGAGATGGCAATCCCTGTGCCCCACTTCTGGGGACTAAACTTAGGGCTAAGCCCATGCTAGGCAAGAACTCCATATGCTCAGCCCCAGGGTAGCATTCTTTTTTCAAAGATAGAGTCCCCTATATAGCCCAGGCTAGCTTGAAATTTCCTATGTAGATCAGGCTAGCCTCAAACTCAGAGATCTACTTGCCTCTAGGCATGTGCCACTAAGCTTGCCAAGTTGGCATTCTTAAAAGGATTTAAGAACAAGATTTTGATGGCTATTTTTGAAACAACTATGCTCAGAGACCACCTACTGGGTGTACCAGCATACACCTGCAAGACAAAGACAATATCTCTCTCTCCTGTCACCACATAACACAATGCCCTGAAAATTGCTCAAAAACAAAACAAAATAACAACAACACTATGAAAGTGACAGAAGCTAGCTAGCTACCAGCAAGGGTGTGAGGGAACTAAGTTCTGTGACAACAGAATGCATCCTCATCAGGAGAGGCATTGGTATCAGAACCCTGGACAGCTCTAACACACAGTAGGGCCTTTGTGACCAGTACTCTGGTTGAACTCTCTTTTAAATGTTCTCTAGAAAGCCACTTCTATGGGCTCAACCTTGTGAGTAAGATCTTTTCCCAAGGCTTGAGGGGTTTGTTGTATCAACTTATGGCCTGGATGCTACCTACTGGGCATCTGGAAGGGGAAATCAAGCAATCTGCTTTTAATCTCTTACTCTGATACCTAAAGCCAAAAGCAACAAACATTACTAAGTCAACATCTGGAAAGTTTATTCCAAAACAATTAGGCCAGTTGGATAAACTGTATACACTGTCCCAACTAATCTGTCTTGGCACACAAAAACCAAATTCAATATGCAAACAGAGCTACAAATGCTTAACAGTAGGTACACACCAGAAGGGCTCACAGCCACGCGAGTACACTCTGGTAAGACTCATTCTACTTGCAATACATTGGCAAGATATGTGTGCATCCTAAACCAGAATGCCTTCTAATCCACTAGGGGTTCAGCTAGGAGGCATAGAGTATATCAGTGTGCAACAGAGATGAGCTGCAAAGCTCAAAGTAGGAGATCCAAACTCATGATTCAATCTGGCTTGCTCCTGCTCTATAACTGCACTGGGCTGCATCTGGAGGTTCGAGAAGAGGCCCAGCCCATGACATAACAGTTCCAAGCTTTTGTGTGTTTGGCACCTCATTACAATTCTCCCACTAAGCCAAATAGGAAGTTTCCTTCCTGTTCTCTGACTTGATCCAGCTTAACAAGCCATTTAACCAAGTTTCATGGGCATACTTCTTCCAGCAAAGGATGCTAGTAAATAAATGTTCAGTTCCATCAGCAAAACACATGATACTCAGCTCACTGTACGTCAATAGTGGTGTTTACGGCTCCAACATCAAAACCCCTTTGATACCTGCAACCAAGTGAGAGGCCCCTGCCCCTTATCAGTCCCACTCAATCAAATCCATGGTATATAAACCAGACTTCTCCAGCGCTCAGATGATCCCATGGGCACCACCCTTGAGAGTGGGTGTAGTCTACTGAACTCCTCCAGATCATCTGAAAGCAGGAGCCCTGGCTTGTTGTAAGTGCACCTGTGGAACCTAGTTGCTTAGAACATGCTAAGATGGAGCCATCACTAAGCAGTTACTTTAACTTCTTCATTCACTAGGATAAGTCCTCAATAATGTAGCTAACAGGAACCAGGCACTTCCTCTATGCTGGGCTGAACCATGAGTCCCTATCATAGGAGTGGGTACTGAACCCAGGGCCAGCAAGTGTCCTCACACTACGACTTATGATGTCCATTCAGATTCTTTCGCTCTGGGCTCCTAGGGGAGGAGGAGACATACTGAGCCAGAAGCAGCTGGGCTATCTATAAAGAGACTCACACTGAACAGTGAAGACTTTTAAATTTCCCAGTTACTGATATGTAAGTTTGCCACCAAAACCACAGTGGACTCCTCTTCAGGGTCCCTAGCAACTATGTCTTGTGAGAAAGGCTTAACATATCGGTTTTCAGATCCATTTGCTCAATTAAACACCCCCTCCTTTCTTTCTCTCCCTCTCTCTACTTCTGTTTAAAAGAGAGTCCACTTTATGAAATCAGCCAAAGGATAAAACGTTTCCTCCTCATAACCTCTCTTATTCCTCGTTTCCTATCATCATACCTGTCTGTGGCTTTCCACAGCTTTCCTCAGCCTTCAATGTTTTATCTGTCCTGACCTACGAAGATCAGGACCAGGTGAGGTAAAGATCACAGATACTTCTCAGAGGGAAGACAAATTTCCATCATAAAGACGTGCATTGCCAACAGAGCAGAGGAGAGAGGGTTTTTAAAAGGCAAGAGCAGTCATAGGTGGCCATAGGATGCACATGGGAGACATGCTCTTGGGGACAGCAGACACAGATCCAGCCATCATACAAGCACAGTGGCCCAGGCCGCCTCAGAACTTAGTACTTCAGTGAGAAAGGGAGGGGTTTACTGTCAGGAGCAGACATTCAGGGTAGCCATGGGGAAGGGGGTCCAGCAAGCTTACGGTACTTGAGACAGCTCCTGGGAGGTCAGGCTCCAAGCCTCTGTGGAGGTCCTCCGGTACGGGAGGGACCAGCGGAGGCGGTGGTGAGGGTGGTGGCGTCTGGCTAGCAGGGGAGAGGGAGCCACAAGCACTGGCTGGCTGGCTGTGGTGGGGCCGCCTCTGCAGATGAGGGGGAATGAAATCATCTAGTGTCGGGAAGGTCAGAGGTGAGGCAGCAGGGGTGGTCGCCGGGACAGTGTGGATGCAGCCAAGTGGCCCCAGAGATGCTGGAGTTCTGGCAGTGCCTTCTTGCCCTTGCCCTCTGTCAGTATTAACCAGGTAGAGAGGGACAACTATTACCTCAGACGGGGCTGGGCTGGAGGAGGTGGCATCCTGTGGGAAATAAGGGTTGTTACGAGTTACGCAGAGGGGACGGCAGAGAGACAGGAATTCCACATTTAAACAGTTGCGCGTGGACATGCAGTGATGCACTTCAAGAAATATTTAATCAGTGCCCTTTCCTCAGAGTACATGAGACAGTCAGTGCTAACCAGTGCTAGCCAGCTGGCCTCCTGATACTCTATGACACAGAGGGAGCCCCATCCAAGTTCACTTTCCATCCATCTATTTTTGAATCCTTTTAACACTTTATGAGAGAGAAGGAGAACAGACAACAGAAGAGGCAGGCGGGCAAGCAGACAGTGTTTAACCCCACAAAACTGCCCCGGGGCCCACAAGCTTGGGAGCAAATGCAGTTTCTTTAGCACTTTGTCGTAAGACTTAAACATCCTCACCACATTGTTATTAGTCTATGAGTTCCACGATCTGGCATACTGAGACATTTACAGACAAGAGCCAGGGAGACAGGAGAGGCTGTGCTGAGAGGGTTAGATAGAAGAATTCAAGTATTCAAGTACTGTAACACTAGTGAGGAGAGAGAGGGTAGGGAACCCCAAAGAACGAGTAAGCCACTTAAACCGGTTCTGAGAGAGACAGTGTAGAAGACACACAAGCATTCCTAGTTTCTTGCCTTGGCTGGATAACACGGCTGCAAAAGGTAAGTTTCTTTGTTCTTCTGGTTTTCGGGATCAGAGGTAACCTGGGGGCCTAGCCTGGGAGGCCTCACTGCATCTGGGAACGAGGCCCATGTCCCCAGTGTGGGATTCTCACCGTGGTTACCGGCATCTTTGTGGTTGTCAAAGAATAGCTTGGGAGGGTCAGGAGGAGGAGCAGGGGGTGGTTTTCCTGTGCTGGCTGTGGCTGTGCCAGGGACAAGGCTGGGAGCTGGTGCCCGGGTGCCTGCAGCCTCTGAGGGAGTGTCTGGGGCTGAGTTACGTGCAACAGGAGAGTAGTTTTCCGATGTTGCCCGGCAAATGTTACTGGATAAACATGGGACATATAAGCTGCTGACCTGTTTACTCCCTGCGGCCTCATGACGTGGGTTAGAGCTCACACTCTTATTGTACACTAATCTGGAGGCTATATAGTGTTGGTGAGGTTGGGAGGATACTTCAAGGCCCATGGACCCAAAAAGCAATGAACCAGGACATGATGCATTTTTGGGAGCCAACCTAGCTCTCAGCGGAACAGAGATGGGGGGAGGCAGTGAGGGGTTCTGTTGGCTGGGGGTGCTGGGTGGGATGTAAGGCTTTGGTGAGCTCATGTAAAGGGAGTCCTTGTAGTTTCGGTGGATGGTGGGGGACTGCCATGCAAAGCGGTCCTCTTGAGGGAAAGGAAGGCATGGGAGAGACAGAACCTTTAGTAGTGGTTTCAAGACATGACATCAAAACAGAGAGAAAAAGGGAGGGGGGAGATGGAGAGAAGCACCGTTAGAAACAGCAGCACAGCATAATAAAAGACAAACAACTCTTGATAGGACTGTAAGCAAATCCTTCTGATGCCCACGGCTGTAGTCCGGGCAGCTCTGAGGACTGCCTCACTTACCTGCAGGGCTGGCCTGACTCACAAGCCAGGGAGGCGAAGCCAGCTCCATCACCAATGCTAGTCTGCCTGCATCCTGCCTGTGGGCCTATCTGCCAGCAGAGGAAGCCCCTGAGCCGAGTCCTCTTTGCTTCCCGACCTCCCTTCCTCAAGACTCCTGTTGAGGCCTTTCCCTTTAAAAGTTTAAGTTCACTGGACTTGTCTGAGTTACTTTAATTCTTTCCCTCTAGGAAAAGGAGAAATGGAAGGGTCTTCTATGTGTGTGTTCACAGGAGGCAGATGTCTCCCTTGAGTCCCTGATTCTGTTCTTGTTTCCACCAGCATACAGAGTTCACTTAGGGGAGGGCATTAAAAGCTTTAAGTCCATGTGCACTCTTCTCTCAGAAGAAATAATAGAACGATAGAATCAATCACTAAGAACATAGCTGAAGGATATGACTCAGTTTACCCAGCATGTTCAAGGCTCCAAGTTCAATCCCCAGAACAAATAAGGGGGCATGGAATTAAAGAACATGTAGTCTCCCACTTCTGAGGCACATGGGCATGTAATTAGCCTATGGGGTTGGGATGAGTCTGGTTTATTCAGCCAGTTTACCACCATGCACAGGCAATCATTTTTATACTTGGGTGATCAACTTTAGCCACACCATAAGAACAAAGCTCTGGTAACAGGCTCAGAGTTACAGAGTTGAAACTTATCCCTCATCCTTCATCCCTCTCTGTTCAACCTTTCTTCCATGGACCTCAGTGAGGAAGAGGGATAGGAGGCTGGCTGACTCTTTAGCCTGATCCTCCTCAGCCAACCAGTGGCTCACCTGGGAACGAGACTCCCAGAGGAGCAGTACCAATGTGCCCAGACTTTGCTCGCTGGCTGGCCCTGATCTTCAGATTCCATATGAGAACAAAACCAGAAGTCTCCTCTAACTGCAGTGAGAGGGACTACAAGTTGGTGAACATCTGACAGATATGTTGTGACCAAAAATGAGGAAGAGCTACAGAAGACGGCTCCATGAGTAAGAGCACCTGCTGTGCAAGCTTAAGGCCTGAGTTCAAATCCCAAGGACTCAAAGAAAAAGCTTGGCATGATTGTACATTCCTGTAACCCTAACAATGTGGTGTACAGACAGGGGGATCCTAGAGTTCACTGGCCAGCCTACCTGGCTGAAACAGCAAGCTTGTGAATCAGTGAAAAACCCTGTCTTAAGGTTTCTGTCTGTCTTACAGACAGATGGCAACTGAGGAAACCACTTCTTTTGTCTTTGTATGGGCACACACAGGTGAGCATATCTGAATGCTCATATGCAGGTAACTGCCCACATTGAGGCCAGTTTTTATTTAGCTTTTATACTTTGTAGAATATATATGGGAAAGGGAGGGGTCATTAGAAAGGGCTACTAGTTAAGAAAGTGAAAAAAGTCTTTTTTTTGGGGGGGGGGGGAGGGGGGGGTCTAGATTAGACTATCATCCAGAAACAGTCAACAGCCTACACCTCAAGCACAAGTTTGAAATAACAGTCTGGGTATAGAGACGACTATTTAAGTATTCTCAGTTAACCAGGTCTGTGTCTTATCCACCACATCCACAGTAGTGCCAGTGAAGTGTGGCCATTTATAGCAGCCCAAAATCTACAACAAAGAGCCCCTCTAGTATATAGCAAGAGTAAAACCTGTCACATCAGCTCTTCGGTTTGATGAGCTTGGAGTGAGTGCTAGAACACTTTGTAGTCTGACAACCTCCAGAAACGACAACTGAACTAGCTTCCACCATTGAGACTGTCAAGGAAGCTGGCAGGGCAGACGAGAAGCAAGCAGAAAGCCATTCTGATATTGGCTCAGGTTCACTTTAACTTTGGACCAGAGTCTCTTGTATGTGACGTCTTCTTGTCCAAAGATAGAAAGCTGCTTCGATGATTTTCAAACTTAATCAGTCATGGCCATGTACGGTACCAGGACTGCATGATGTCAGGCACAAGTCTTCCTGGGGTTGTAACCTTACAGAGAGGACACTTCCCCAGAGTGTCCACAATACACACAGAGTCAAAGGACTTCCTGTCCTGGGGCTTCTTTTAACTCTAAAGAAGGAGCTGGAGTTGGACTGAGCAAGAACAGAAAGGAGTAAGTAGCTTTTTGCTTAGTTTTAAGTACTGTAGCCTACCCTACCCACTGTCCACAGATAAAACTCAACTATCTTTTTAGAAAGTGTGTCAATGGGAGAAGGATACGTCTTAGAACATGTGGTGTGTTCATAGTTTCTATTTCAGAAACTTCCAAGCCTCAGCTCTACTGGGACTACCATGCTGATGATGACATCACAGAAAGGGACACTGGTTCCCTGGCCATGGGAACGGGAGGAGGGTTGGGAGGAGTAAGCCCAGGCAGGCAGGACACAGGATTTCCACCTAGCCCATCTATCTTTTGGATCCTAACTGAGTCCTTAAGGGAAGATGTTCTGCCAACAGATCCATAAACTCCATAGAGCCAGAACAAAGCCCAAGAAGCTGCCCTGCCCGCCTTGCCTTTATTGAAGCCAGTGAGTAATTATAGCAAGCACTACACAGCTAAGAAGTCATGTTTACTTTCAGAAAATAAATCTGCAAAGTAATACAAGACACAAAGTTCTTGACATTCAAATGGCAAATCTAACACTGAACTGCAGAATACATGTCCTATGTCAGCTATTTGCCTGTCTCCCTGAAGACAGTGTAGGAGATGTGAAGTTGAGTAACAAACAGATCCTAACACAGGCTGGTGGACACATCACAGGATGCTCAACCCTACTATAAAGCTCCCCTTATCAACTCTCCGACGGCAGTGTTCAGCACACTGGTCTGGGTACAGGTGTACAATAAAGTTGTGTTAAATAGAATCATCTTTACCTCCCATGTGATATTTATTTATGCAGTGCTAGGAAATAAGTCCTGGGCCTTGTACATACTAGGCAAGTGTTTCACCCCTGAAATACAACTCCAGCCTAGCCCTTGCTTTTTTGTGTTCACGAAACCAAGAGGCATTGGAGGGTTAGCCTTTGGGCTCAGCCACTGATGGTGAAAGACAGTGTACTTCAACGCCTGCTTTGACTGGATGCTGGCTGTGTTCTAATCTGAGCAGAGCAATAGCATCCATCCTTGAGACGGCTGCAAAGGAAGTGCTAATACCACACACAGCACATTATACACACAGAAGCTTTCACAAATGGGAAAATTATGACAAGCCATTTAACAGACAAGTGACCTACAGGAAGCCAGGCCTATTCACAGTGCCTGGCTCTAACCAGGGCCTACGTGTACAAAGCTGAAACTGAGGAGATAAGTCCTGGCAGGAGGCAGAACGGCTTAATGGTGCTGCTCATCACAAGAAGATGAGCGACAAACTGTAGACCAGGGAGACAGGTCTACACAGAGAGAAGATCCCATCTGAGTTCCTTGTATGTTTTAGGACCACTTCAGAAGGACACACAGGAGCCTGTACCATCCAGGGATCATTTGAGCATCAGCACCTCCTATAAGGAAGATGGCTCCATTCCACGTAAGTGACTCCACCTTATAAAACATCTTTCATATACCACTGGAAAGATAGAATCTATTCCTTTTATCAAAATAGCAAAGTATAGTGAGAAGCAGAAAAACAAGGTGGAAAACCACCTAAGAGCAACAACCAAAATAAACTCACCCCCTGCACCAAACTGTATAGCTTTAGAAGAGTGTCTGTCACACAAGCACTACCAAGGCCTAACCCTGCTCAGCTTCCACGATCAGAATGTGCCTATCCAGGGTGGTACGGCTGTCGGGCAGGGGGATATGGGGGTGTTCTATAGCAGAGCAGATCTGACTCTGAATCCAGCCTGTGGTGCCATTGCAATTGCTGTTCTAAGGCCTTTGGGCTAGGGACTTAAGGTCTGGCCACAAATAGCTGATATTAACCTGTCACATTACAGTCACTCAAACTCTGAAAGTCTCAGCTTTAGAAAGTTAGTGAGATAACACCAGAGACGCTCATCTGAATACTATGCTCTAAACAGTTTCTTAAAACTAAGCTCAGGGGCTGGAGAGATGGCTCAGTGGTTAAGAGCACCGAATGCTCTTCCAGAGGTCCTGAGTTCAATTCCCAGCAACCACATGGTGGCTGACAACCATCTATAATGGGGTCTGATGTCCTCTTCTGGTATCTCTGAAGAGAGCAATGGTATACTCATATATATAGTTAAATAAATCTTTTAAAAAAAAAACTAAGCTCAGACTTTCTCCTACCTGTTCAAGGCTAAATAAATTCCGTCTTTTAGAATCTTTCCACGCGTATATCAAGCCTAGAGAACAGCAGGCCTATTTCTAACACCCACATGGACCAGCCTCATCCCATTCCCTTGTTTTTACTGACTCCCAACTCTCCTCCTAAGAAAGCTATTCCAGAGATGATCAGAGTCGGGATCCCTACTCCACCATCCAGCTGGAAGGCACAAACTTGGGCTGCCAAACTTGAGAATGGACAACAAGTCTCCACCCCATTTGCATGCACACACCTACCTGGGGCTTGTCAGCAGAAAGGCTGGGATGCACACTTCTATAGCCCTTGGCAGCAAGTGGGGAGGGCTGGGCGTTGCCATTAGCATCAGCACTGGAAGAAAGTTTCCATTCATCTGAGGCAAGAAAAACACAAACAAACCCCATCATTCACAGGTAACACCCACTGGCTTCCCACTAATTCAAGGGTCCCTGGTGCCCCAAGGCACAGAAGGTAAGAAGGCAAGAAAAACCATACCTGCTGAAGGGTCCTCTGGCTCCAGGCCTGTGCGAGGAGCAAGAAGGATGAAAACAAAGAAGGAAAAACAGAACCAGTTATGTTTGCGGGAAGCAAGCATGAAACACACTGACCGATGAAAATCAGTGGCCCTCATCTGACACAAAAGACCCTCAGTCAAGAAGGCCCAATCACCATAGGAACCCACTTGAGACCATGATGTTCACAGGCGCTGACCTTTGAGAACACAAGACTACATTCACAGGAATGAAGAAACAATTGTTCCTTGACATTCTTACTTTACAGACTGAAAGGCAACAGAACTCTCTGCTGTCCAGTCCCCACCCCCAAGCCTGCTGTAGGCTCAGAAGGACTGTGCCTTAGCAGGCTGGGTTAATGGGCCCTAGAGGCTGACTGAAGGAAGCCTCAGTAGCATGCTTTTGTTTGGTGGGTTTTGTTTGTTTGTTTGTTTGTTTGTTTGTTTTTGGATCCTGAATGTCTCCATCACATTAAATGAAAGTACAAGCACATTGGCAATGTGGGCTGGAGAGATGGCTCAGAAGTTAAGAGAGTTTTGTTACACAATCATGGCAAGCAGAGTTCAGATCCCAGTACCCACATAACAAGTCAGGAATCCCACAAATGTCTGTAACTCCAGCACCAAGAGATTGGATGCCCTGCCCTCTTCTGGCCTCTGCCAAAGGGAAGTGGGGGGGGGGGGATAAGCATACACAAATAAATCTAATAAAAAATTTTTATTAGAAAAGTCCACTCCTGATTTGATTTCACATAACAGATCATAGTCAAAACTTAAGTGTGCTAAAAGTATAATAGGCTACATGTATGAAGTTACGTGACACACAAATGAATCTCATGTTTAGGCCTGGGTTCCTTCCATAACATACTATTTAGAATGCAAACACTCCAAAATCTAAAAGAAACAGATCTGAAATATTTCTGAACTCAAGCACTTCAAATATGACCCAGTGACTTTGCATGTGACTGAGCACCACAGCAACAAACAGGCACAGATAATCCAGAAAGGAATGGGCTGTGCTTCCAAACACCCTTCTTGATGGACATTAAATTTCAAATTTTATACAGCTTTCATGTAGCATGTAATATCACTCTTCTCTGCATTTTTCTACCAGCCATTTAAAACACAAGTTACAGGCATTTGTGGGATTCCAATTAGCCAGTAGGCTAAATTGTGCTCACGGCCAGTTTGGCCACCCCTACTCTAACAATCCTTTACCTCCCTTCTGTTCTCTGACAGAACTTCTTTTCACACTCCTGCAAACACAAAAGAGGGCCTACACTGTAGTCCAGTCCAAGCCTTGGGTGTGGGTCTCTCAGACCAATGGTGTCTTTCCAGATGTTAAGATGAGCAAACATTTATTAAGGACCTTCCAGATGCCAGACATAGTTACACTTTACACCTATTTAGTATTTAATTAAATGCTCAGTGTACTTCATGAATGAGAAAACAGAGAGGTCATTTGCCCAGAGCAGAAAGCCTTACACGGGAAGGGACAAAGCAGTACAGTACCCTGACCAACATCCATGGCTGCCAACTGCATCAGTAGTAGGGAGATACTGGAGGCCAGAGGGCATCAAAGCAAAAGGAGAGGTGTCTTGCATCCCACAAATGGCATGGTCAAGCTGCATCAGTCAGGGAGAAGCCTTGGTAAATCCAGATTGATGAGACTTACTCAGTATTTATCAGTAAGAGATGGAGACCCAAGAGTTTGCATTTCTAACAGTTCCCAGCAATGCTAATAGTGGCAGTCCACACACCCTACACTCTAACAACTGACAGAAGGCACAGTGTAAAAAATATATATATATATTTTATATATCTCCTTATTTTGGGACACCCAAGGCTCAGAGATCATCTCTGAAGAGGAAGTAGAAAAACTCAAAGATCTAGAGGTGGTGCCTGACTCCAAGGACACAGAACCTTCCTGAGTAACTGAACAACTGCATGTCATGGACATGGCAATTCCAACACCATTCACAAGACCCAAAGTAGGCTAAAGCCAGGGAAAATCTAAGTTTGGAGTGTGGGAGGTGTAACGAAGTTGAGGAGTTACTCAACATTCTGTAAGAGTATGACCTTAGGTAGGATGACCACAACATTGGGTGGGAAGGGCGAGGGGGTGGATCTAACAGGAAGTGGGAAAGTGAAGAAGATCAACATAGACTGTAGGATATTCTCAAAGAATTAACACAAATATTATCTTTAAAATACCCTATGGGGAGCACGACAACCTACTATCACATCCCCAAAATGCAGAATTTTAAGGTGACAGTTATATACTCTTGTAGTGGGTTACCCATTAGATCTCTGCCACTCCCTAATAGACAGTTCCTAGCTGTCTGTCTTCTCCAGCAGCCACCCATTGAACCCTCCCAGGGCATGTGTTTCATGAATGTTAGTGTTATCACACTGAACTGGCTTGTGTAACCAGAATGAGTATGTTAACCACACCAAAGTTCGAATTTCTTATCTGTAAACTATAATCCCTCCCCAATGTCCTCCGCCAAAGGCTGCCAAGGAATCTGAGATCAGGCATGTGAAGGTGACCACATTCAATACTCACTGCTAGCCCCATGCCTGGCCCAGAGAACTTCATGTATGCAGCCAACCCAAGAACACTAGAGACATTCTGTGACAATGGCCCTCATCCTCTTCACTCTATCACTTTTAATGTTCCCTCTTGTTTTCCCAGTTGCTATTTCCAGACACCCCTTGCCAGGCCACTTTTCGAATGTATTAGGTTTATATATACACCAAACAGCAATAGGCTTCAAGTGAGGGGCTCCTTGGTGACAGAGGTAAATGCAGCACACAGACTTGGGGACACATTCTTCTGCCTACTTTTTTCCTGTTGGGTTGGTTCTATTCAAGCCACACTGGAAAACAGACGGGTCATAAAAATCTAGAAGTGATCATCCTTCTAAAGCTATAGGCGCTATAAGGAAGCCATCCTCATACTATTGGATCACCTCCTGTGAGTTCAAATCCTCTGCCTTGTCGACTGCGCATCCTTATCTGCAAAACAGACATGGACTCTTTGCTGAGTCACAGGACTAAGTCAACCGAAGGGGCTGGAGAGATGGCTCAGTGGTTAAGAGCACTTGTTGCACTTGTAGAGAACCCAGGCTCGATTCCCAACTAGTCAGTTTTCTTTCAAACTATGTGACCTCCCACGCCCACCCCAAGCACAACAACATGGTGGTTTACAATCATCCATAACTCCAGTTCCACAAAATCTAATGTCCTTTTCTGACCTCTGCAGGCACATGCACACACACTACACATATATGCATGGAGGGAAAACATTCATATACATAAAATAAACCTAAAAATATTAAATTATATGGCATTTATAATATAGGGACTTTATAAAACTGGAATCCAAAACACAGGGAGAGAAATCCCCACAGATATAAATTATAAGGTGTGTGTGTGTTATGGTTTTGTTTTTTGTATGTTTTATGTCAATGTAAGAAATATATATGTATACTCGTATGTTTGCCTGTGTGTATGCATGTGGAAGCTAGAGGTCTACCACTCAATATACTTCCTCAGTTTCTATCCATCTTGTTTTGTGAAACAAGGTCTCTCAGTAAACTTGGCACTCACTGATTCAATTAGGCTGCTCACCCAGAAGCCCCAGATTCTCCTGCCTCTCCCTCCACTCCAGCACTGGGGTTATAGGCATGAACAACTATGCTGGGCTCTTACATGGGTGCTGGGGACCCAAGCTCAGGCCCTTGTATTTGCACAGAAAGCATGGAGCCATCTCCACAGCCCTGTTTTTTTAAACAGAGTCTTACTATATAGTTCCAGCTGATGGATATATATAGTGGGATTTGATGTATAGCCCAGGCTGACCTCAAACTCTCAGCAATCCTCCTGCTTCTATCTCCTTAGTGGTGAGATTATAGGTATACACCACCACATGTAGCTCAAAACATAGGAAAATCCACAAAGATATAAATTACAGTATGTGATCCCTCCATTTAATAAATTCAAAGCCATACTGTCCTTGGGAAATGACTCGGATCATTTTCCCCCCCTCATTCCAAATCTTCAAAACCATTTTCTTCACTGTGTTAAAAAGGTTAGTTCCCAGGCTCTCCATCAGCAGCTTGGTCCCTACTGAAGGAGAGCATAGCTCTGGCAGGTTGTCAGCCCTCTTCCATTATCCTTTCTTTTGAATCTGGAGGGTTGGTAGCAGCCCAGGGCCAATTATATCTGAGTGCTCGAGGTGAAGTTTTACATACATAGTCATCAATTACTGACTCCTGATGGAAGAGATTGTCAAAAGGCTTCCTCCAATAAAACGGAAGGCTGGCTTCTAGACAGATTTGCAGCCTGAAAACAGTCTTTCTGTGTAAAAGACATAGTCTGCTGTGCCTTTTATCCTACCTGCTCTTTATGGATTTCTCTGGCCCATGCCTAGAAGCCTTCAGATACCAACTATTATTTTATTTCTTTTCTAACTTTGTTTTTGGTTTCCTGCTTATTTTCTAAAAATAGTTTTTCTTGGGACCTTAAGATACTTTTTACCAAGTCAGACTCAACGTGGTCTGGAACATGCTCTGAGGTAGATGATGTGCTCAAAGCAGGTCTATGCATGTTCAAAACCTTACTTGTACTTTTCTATTTATAATATCCAGTGGAGAATTTAATATCATGAAAAAAAAGGTTTAGTCCTTGAAGGAAGTCCATCCAGAGTCCGTCCCATCGTGGGATCCATCCCATCTGCAGACACCAAACCATGACACTATTGCTGATGCCAAGAAGTGCTGGCAGACCGGAGCCTGGTATGGCTGTCCTCTGAGAGGCTCCGCCAGCATCTGACTACGACAGATGCAGATACTCACAGACAACCAACCATCAGACTGAGCCCAGGGACCCCAATGGAAGAGGTAGGAACAAGAATGAAGAAGCTGAAGGGATTGCAACCTCATAGGAAGAACAACAATATCAACTAACCTGACCCCTCAGAGCTCCCAGGGACTAAACCACCAGCCAAAGAGTACACATGGAGGGACCCAGGACTCCAGCTACATATGTAGCAGAGGATGTCCTTATCCAGCATCATTGGGAGGGGAGGCGCTTGGTGCTGTGGAGGCTTGTTTCCCCAGCATATGGGAATGCTAGAGGGGTAAAGAGTAAGTGGGTGGGTGGGAGAGCACCCTCTTAGAGGTGAAGGGGGAAACAGGATGAGGGGCTTTTAGAGGGGGGACTGGGGTAGGCAACATTTTAAATGTAAATAAATAAAATAAACGATTTAAAAAAAAAAGTTTGGTCTTTACCCTGGGCTTCTATAGATAACTGCCCAGTCCCTGGAATGTTACATCAAATAGGAAGGTCTTGTTTGTCGGAGGTCTTGAAGAACAGCAATATGGTTTAGAATCAGGGCTTTGGGTCAGCAACAGCTTCATTGCCTACTAGAGTAGAGATGAGTCTTTGAGGAAGATAGTGGCTCTCTGCTCTGGGGCTCACACATCGACTGTTGGGAAGTAATCTGTCGGGGATATGTTGTACCTCTTCAGACTCTATCATGAACTTCCCTGGGCTGATTTTAATCTCTTTCCTTTTCCTTCAATAAACACACTAGACCCTTCTAGCATTAGCACTAAGCCTGGGGTGTTTTGAGGAATACCCTAAATTTGCATCTGGGTGTCAGAAGGGATGGTGATGTCTCAAGAGGTCCTTTCCTCTAACTTTTCAGTTGGCCTTAACTCTCACACATATACTCAATGATTTCATTTGGGGCTACACAAGAGAAACCCTGTCTCAAAAGCAAAACAAACAACAACAACAAAAGCAAAACAAAACACTGATTTCATGGGAAAAGAGAATCTAATTTATAAGATTTTTGCTGCCGCCAATCAGGAGAGCAAACGTGAGAATCACAAGAAAGGAAATGAGTTGACTGTGGCTCCAAGAGTCATTCTGTCTGAGGATAGTTTTGTAGCAAACACCGGAGGTAGTAACTAGCACAGCACCTAGATTGCAAGGAACTGCTAACCAGGAGCCTGAAGCCTGAGTTAGGGCCTCGCATACAGGGTAACAAGGTACAGGATCTCCAGATCACACCAGAAAGGAACTGGGAATTTCACCCACCACCACTGCAGACTTCCAAGAGTAAAAAGAGAACCACACAGGTCTAGGGCACTGGTGGGGTTGCTCAGAATTGACACAGCAAACACCCAGACATGGCTGTGTGATAAGAGCAGGAAACACAGAGAAATAATAAGGCTCCTCCCAGGCCAAGGGAGTCAGTACTAAAACCATTTCCATTCCACATGATTCTAATCCCAAGGTCCAAAGTCCTTCAGAGATGAGGTTATTGATCAGGGACCTGAGGTCCAGCTACCACTCAAAGGCAGGACTTTGGAAGAAGAGAAATGGTGCAGTAGCTGAACTCCTTGCTGCTCTTTCAAAGAACCCCTGCTCAGTTCTAAGCACCTACACTGGGCTGGGGAGCAGCTTGCAACCACCTATAACTCCAGGTTCAACAGAATGTGTCACCTCTGTTCTCTACAGACACCTGCACTTATGTATATACACCTACAAAGAGGCACACACCTACATGGCGACATACATATACACATAATTAAAAATAGAATTAAAAATAAATTAAATTTAACTTAATCATAATTTAAATTATATTTTAAAGCAGGAACCTGAACAGTGAATTTAAATTGGGGACCTTTAAGGGTCCCAGCTTCTTATCCTCTTGTTTCATGCTCACACATGCTTTTGAGCCTCCTGGAGTTCGTGTGGGTGCACAAGACTCCTATATTCATACTGCAGGCTTACATTTCCAAATGCCTCCTAGACATTTCTTCTGGAAGTCCTTCTCTTACCAGGAAAAGTTATTATCTCAACGCAGATGATAATGGAATTGACCCTCCCTTTCCGACATCTTTCACAAATTCCTCCACCTAGAAAACCAGCTGGTCAGCTAGAGTCCCTGAGTCTCACACCAAGCCCTGCTATCTCATTCTCTCGATGACCCTTGACCCTTGACCCTGTCCTCCATCCACACTGCCCTCACGCCTGGCCCAGAACCTCATGCCTTCTAACTGACAGGATTCAACCTGTAGCAAGCCTCCTGTCCCATAGTAACAACAAGGGTTATCATGACAGGCCTGTGCGGAACGCTTGATATGAGGGAGCCCATTTAATGTCACCAACTCCAGTAGGATACTGTCCAATGTATAGATGAGAAAACTAAAGCCATCTAAGGTTGATGAATTTGTCCATGTTCCAAAGACAGTAAGTGCCAAGGCCAAGAGAGAGGAGACTCTGCGGCCGTCTAACTATACTGCCTCTCATAAGAGGAGGAGTCAGAACAGTGGCTGGAAATACGTCTAAACGGAGCTTCCAGTCCAAACAAACAGGCAGCAACATGGAGAGACACAGGAATGGATGGAGGCGGTAGAGATGAGAGCACAGGTAGTGTGCAAATGCTGATGTGGCGCCGATGACTAACTTCCCAGGGGGAAGACAATTAGTATAAGATGGAACTATAGCTGCCACTTTTTAATAACCCACCAGTTCTTCCTAATATTTGCATTTTAAGAAGCTTCTTTTAAAGACTTGCTAAGAAAGTAGAAATTCTTTCCCATAAAATCTGTTGGAATAAATTTGTAGGAATAGCCATAGGACGAGACGGTGCTCCTTATCCGCATCCGCTGTACACATAATTCTGTAGCACCATAGTATCCTAGCAAGCGCCACAGTGGAAAGCTCTGCTCTGTATTAGTGCCAGCTACAACCACTAGAGGGAGCTCAAGGCTCCCTCTCCACTGCCTAAGGCTTGGCAGGTTAAGATGGCCTGACTAGCTTTTTCTCTTTAGAAATCTCTCTTCCCCACATACCCTCTGGCCTTGTGAAGAAATTATTTTGCCTTTCTTCTTGCCCGCATCTTTCTTAGAGAAGGGAATGGCAAACTGCAGCGGGTCAGGAATCAAGTACGGGCTTAGACACAAGAGCCAAGAAGACCTGGGCCTACCGAGTTGCTGCGGAGGCTCAAGCCCTTCCCTAGGCCTAGGAACAGAGACACCCTCCCTGGGGAGCCGCATCACTGTAAAGAGCTTGTGTTCAAACTCTAGCTCATCTTCCTCGAGCATCTGCTGTGGTACCCATTATAGGTGGCTGATGCAGAGTGTGAGGAGATGCAAGCATTACTCCTTTGTATGCTACATAATTCTACCATGGCACAACACCTGCTTCCCACTGTACCAAAAGTTGCAAGTCCTATTTCCCTTACACTCTGATTCCAAGAATATGCTAAGCTTCCCGGTTTCATGAGAAAAGAAAACCCCATTTCCTGTAGCCATTTTCAAATGTGGTCCCTGGGCCAGCTCCACAGCGTGGTCTAAGAACTTGTCAAAAACACAAAAGCAAAGACCCTACCTCAGACTGACAAGCAGGCATCACAAGTGACACTCTGGGCTGGGCCCATCTTGCCTGTCTACTTGAGATACCTGTGATGCACAGAGGATAAGAGCCCTATAGAGTGATTAGAGACCGAACTGCCCCAAGCTAGCTATCTGTGGAACCACAAGTCAGCATTTCTCTATGGCAGAATACACAGTCTGTAGAATACTCTGGGAAGGCCAAAATAACCCCAATCCCAATCTTAATCTAAATGGTATCTCACACGTGACAGTTTATCCCATGCCAGCAGGCCTGTTAAAACCCTGCATCTCTTCCTTGCTTATAATAATCCCATGTAGCAGGTACCACCAATCCCATGACACAGATGAAAAGTCTTAGGGTTGAGAGAGAAAATCAACTGTCCCAGACTGCCCAGTCATTGGGTAGGGGAGACAGGATGTAAACAAAGATCTACGAGAATGAAGAGGTGAAGTCCCAACACTATGTGATAAGTACTCTGGGTTCCCAGTCTATGGGCTCAGGGTGGGCAGAGGGTCTGTGCATGAGTCCACGGGTTTGACCTGGCTCTTGCTCACCACTGATCTTAGAAGTGCTCTTGTGACCCTCCCTCCCCTACAGCCTGGTCCCTACCCCACCACCTGTGCCCCAGGGTTTGTTTCCATACCCCTGGCAGCTATGCTTTGTAGCCACTTGTACTTTTGCCTCTGATTCCTTCAGCCAGCCCTACCTGGCCAAGTCAGAGCTAGCCACAGAAGTAGGCAGAACCTTAGGGATGTCTAATCACCATCCTATCCCATGTGCTTGTAGATGCTGAGCTGCCTATATCCACACAACACAGTCTTCAGAGTAATGGTCATCTAACAGGGCACTCTTCTCAATCAAAGTAGAGGTTACACTAAGCTGGGCCTTCACCCAAAGCACATGACTATCTCTCCCAGATCAGGGCTTGACCTACTAATCATCACAGAAGGGACAGAAGTCACTGTCCTGGGACCTCTGAAGAAGGATGTAGCTGATGAATTCACAACACCTCTCCCCACCCCTGCAGAACCGCAAGGACGTCCACCCTCTGCTCTCCACTCCCAGACTCCAGGGCAACACACCTGACTTGCTTTCATGCTTCGGAGATTCCTGGGGGCTCACAGGGCTGCTGCTTGGGGTTTCCCTGTAGGAAGACGAGGCCCGAAGGGTCACTGTTCCTTTCCCAGTGCAGATTTTTGTAGGGTCCATGTCTGAGAAAGAAAGATCCAAAAGGGAGGGTTAGAGCCAAGACTTCTGAGGGAGTTGCAGGGCAGTGCGTAAACGTAAGCAGACGGTTACAGCGGAGGAACGAGATGAACCCAGTTACATCGATGCCTACTCTTCAAACATCTACGACCAATGAGAATTAATCTGTACAACAGTACACCAGCATCATGAAGTTAGGGAGAAGAGGCAAGGTAAGTTCTGAGTAAATGCATGAGTTATGTCAGCTGAAAACAACTCCCAATGGAAGGAAGCTGGCTCATTGCTTCTAGGAAATGAAGCTTGGGTTGCTGAGCAGACTTCTGGCCAGTTAGTAAGGCATGGTTCACAGAAGAGTTTGTGAAAGGTCTCTCAAGCTTACAGATCACCCTTCTCACAACAAAAAGCAAGCGGGGCAATGTGGCGCATCGGGGATGTGCCGAAGAGAATGGCGGCTTCTGCGGTCTCTCGTTGGTGAAGATCCCTGAACTACAAGACAGAGGGAGGTGCTGTTCACAGATGGGCACTTTCACACTCTGCCGTAATGAGAGAACAGGAAGGTGGCCACACAGGCCCGGTCACACGCGACAGTGTCCTCTGAACCTCTCTTTAGTCTACACAGAAACCTCACTGTCTGCATGCAGAGGCAAGGTCGTACCAGCCTGGACATCTTTAGGAAGACTCTCAAAGGCGTCATCTGAATCCAGTGTCCCCAGTCCCTCCACAGATGTCTTAAACCACAGATTATACTCAGTATAGTAACTATATCTTTTCTATACAAACAGACATACTTCTGATAAAGTTTAATGTATAAGTTGGGCACAGTAAACTGACAACAGTGACTCTTATAAAATGGTAAAGTTATAACATTGTAATAAGTTAGTTCATTATATAAAAGTTATTTCAATAAAAAATGTGTTGTTTGCTTCCATTTAACATTTTTCATTTAATACTTAATAATTGTTTTCATTTGGTATTTTTGACTGTGGTTCGCCGTAACTAACTGAATCTGTGGCTAACAGAGAAGCATGCTTGCTTTAGCAGGCCCGGCGTCCCTCCTTCAGGAAAATCAGAAAAGGAGTGCAGACTATGCTACTTCTCAGAGCTCAGAGCCAAGTATTTATGTGCAGCTGAGCTAAGTCAACTCCACACTTACTTCCTATATCCCCATACCTGCCAAACTGCTCAGAGTCCAGCTTCCTGATCTAAAATTACCACAGTGAGGGTGAGGCTGGAGCCTACAGTGTGTCTTTGGATGGGACTCAGCACTATGTGAGTTTGGGAAAGGGGGAATGTAATAAGAAGGCAAGCTTCCTTTTTCCCTGCTCTTTATTCCTGGGGGAGGAAACCACAAAACTCGCAGAACATCACAGACCACATGGCAACCTCAGGGAGCATCTGACCCCATCAAGAGAGTAAGTGATTGGTATTATACAACGATTAGGAAAGGCAGACCACGGTCACAGGGGTGACAAGCAAACTGGCAAAACCACAGGCCATCTGTACGCTCCACTTGTTCCACTTTGACTACATGAAACTTTGAGTCGGAACCTCGAGGGAACTGTACACCCCCGCCTCTTGGAGAGGAGAGGAAGGAAGTAATTGCAGGTGAAGCCAGAGACGGGAAGGAGTGCTCTGGGAAATGGCCTGAGTATCACACAGGGAACTACCATCCAACATCTACAGGAGCTGGTTCACATTCGGCCTGACTCAGAGGTTCTAAGAGGCCAAGTTAACTCTCCCAGCACTGGAGTTTTCACCAAGTATCAGGAGTTTCAAACCTCTTAGGAGAGAGCCCCACTCCAGAGAGAAGCTTCAGTGTGTGCACTAAGTCTTCTAAAGCAGGGGAAACAAGGCTGCAGCCTCAGGTTCTTCCCCTACTACTCACACTTACAGACACACAGAACACACACACACACACACACACACACACACACACACACAGAAAGGCAGAGTTGGGGAGGGAGGGAAAGGGAAACAACTTAGGGAGAAGAAATGCCTTCTACACATGCAAGGATTAGGGCTCACAGTATGGTGTTAGGAGCAAAGAAGGAAAGAAACCATGCATGATCCAACAATTAAAAGAAACAGCCCCAAAGAGAGATACCTGGAGGGAGTACTAGGCCTGAAGGGCTTTTCACTGTCTTCACGGGAATTATTTTAACAGCAGATATAGAGCGAGCAGGTAAAGGGTCGGCTGTTGAAAACACAAAAGGTAAACGGTGCATCCAGAAACAACATTTGGGAGCCTCTCAGGCAAGTCGAGGAACTGTGCGTGGACAATAGGAGGAAGCCGCCTGCTACAAGAACAATGCAGAGAGCCCTGGATGCAGTCATTAAAAATAGCCTGCTTTCTCCTCGGGGGTTCTGGGCCAAGATGGCTGAAGCCTTTCTGCAGCTGTCACTCAGATAGAGTCTGTCCATGTGTACTAGCAGCCCCTGGCACAGGGAGCTTGCCAAGGCTGGACAGAGATGTACAGAGACACAGATGGCCTGGCGAGTAGAGGGAAGGGGATACAATCAGAGTACGAGGTGTCCCTTGGAAATAGTGGGTCATCTGCTGTACAGCCGGGACCTTGAGGACAAGGCCATGGCTGTAGGGTGAATGCAGCTAAAGGGGAATGCTCTTGTAGATTGCCTGGTCCTTCTGGCCTCAAAGCTGTGTCTCTCAAATCATATTTTTTTAGGATCCTGTGCCTGCTCTGGCAGTCAGTATCCTCTGACCCCAAGTAAATCAAAAACCCCATCTGGTAGGAAACAGATGGTGTTTCTTAAGCCCACCCTTTGGTAGAAAAGAGGTGCCAAGTGTCCAACTGGATGATGAAGGCTCTGGACAGCACCCCAGTACACAGTGCTGAATGCTGAGACCCCATTCCTCGCCTGCCTAGACCCCCATCTCAATGACAGGCACATCACCAAACCTCCCTCACTCTTTCTCTTTAATAGCAGCAAGGAAAGAAAGATGCACCATGGTGTCAGAGTGACCACAATGGACTATGCCCAGGGGTCTCAGAGTCACAGAACACAGAATGACACGAGGTAGGTCTGCTCGGAAATAAGAGACTATTGAGTCAGCATCACGTGACTGGGATTGTCAAGTAGGCAGGAAGGAAAATGGGAGACTCCTTCAAGGTGGACAGCGCCCATCCTGCCTGTCCTGCCAATTCTTCGGGAGGCACATGGCACACACACAATATATGTCTGCAATATGTCACTATGCACAGCGACAATTCTGCATAGATCTAGATTGAATGGACTTCTCACAGGAATCCTGGTGACTGTACCTTACAGTCGCTTGAGAGATTGTGCTGGGGTGGGAGGCAGATCTAGGGTGCCATTTTCCAAGGAAGAAGTAAGAGGCTCAGCCAATCACTCAGTCACTTGTTCTACGTTTGTTCTCAAGTACAGAGGCTGAGGCAGGAGCCCAGTTACCCTGGCTCAGTGTCTGCTGCAGGCTATTCTGATGACCTTTAGGCTATACCTGTGTCCTTGTTTCCTACCAAATGTGAGTCTAGCTAAGGCAGAGGGAAGCCATCACTACCTGCTGTGACATACCACTCCCCCCCCCAAAAAAAAAAACTCCTTTAATAAAAGTTTCTTCTATATACAGATTTAGAGAGTGGAGCTGGTGGTCCCAGGGGTTCAGTTTAAATACTCCCTTGCAGCCCTTCAACAGCCCTGCTACGTGCAAGACAGCCAAGGCAGCCCAGGCCCTAAGAACATAGCCCACATGAACTTACACAACTGAATGGAGGAGGGTGACAAGCCGAAGAGGTGGGGACAAAAATGGCACTGACTCCCTGTCCCCAAGGAGCTCAGCCTCTCGCCACCCAGGCCTCCCACTCCCCATCTTCTGCCCTCTGCCTTCTCTCTCCAGGGGGTTCCTGCTGAGAGCACATCTTATCTTCTCAAAGGGAATATTTGGGTGCATTTGATGAAAATTACAAAGGCTAAATATGACAAACTCTGAAATTATTCTTTGGGAGATGCATTTTTTTTTTTACTTTAATGCCCCATGCAGAAATTTTTGTCATTCCTCAATAACACTATAGAATACAGATAGATCACTGTTCATGGAGTCAACACAGCCCAGGATGGGACGCAGAATACACACCGAGGTCAAACCCCTCCCTCTGTAGATAAGAGAAGTTGCACATGCAGAGAGGAAAGGCCCCTGCACGTCTCGGTTCTTCAGGCAAAACTGGGATTAAGTTTATCTAATTACTCCAGCCTGCTTCCTGTCACCTCATACTACAGGACAGATGTCAGGTCGGGGTGAGTGTCCTGGGCAAACAGGACCTCAAGAGGCACTCTCTTCATTAACTTGAAAGCAATTATAATTAGAAAAGTGAAAAGTTCTCAGAAGCCAAGAGGGAGCAGCTGAGAGGCCCCACACCCCCAAGTGGGCTGCTGGGCTCTCAAACATCTTCTCACCGTATCAATAATTCAGCTCGCATTTCTATCTCCTATTTGGAAGAATTTTTACAATGAAACTATGAAGACTGCAAGGCAGCTTAGTGGTGAAGCACTTGTCTGCATGCGCAAAGCTCATTTCTTGATTGAACTGTCAACGTGAGGAAAGGATCTAAAATTAAGGACACTGAAATAACTTTGTTCACAGGACTGTAGATGTGCTCACATTCGTGACAGGTGAAGGTGGCATGCCACATAAAGGCAATTCCAGACCAATGAGTGCCATATGTACCAAGACCTGACATCTGGCACTTACCCGGCACTCGCTACCTAACTAATCTGTCATCCCAGTGTCCCTGTGAGTACATCATCTCACAGCTGGAAAAGGCGGCCTAGGACCCATGAGGAATAGGACCACAGCACAAGTCTCAGGAAGCCACGACAGGAACTAAGCCTAAGACTGGGCCAATGATGTCTTTCCCAGAGAGTTGGGAATGGTCCTACCCAGCATGCTCTGCATCTTCCAGAAATGTTTTCCTATACCAAGCCAGGCTTCTCTGCTGAAGGCAGCCTTACCTTTGTCTGGCCCATGGCTGCCAGGCGCCAAGCCATTCACCACAGCTTTAGAGCTTCCAACATCACATTCTGAAAGAAAGAAGATGAACAGAAGGCTGTGACCATGCTTGCTCAACAATCAGAGTAAGAGGTAGAACAGAGCTGAGACGATCGCTCGCTTGCTTGCTCGCTCACTCACTAGCTTGGCAGTTCTAACTACACACACCCTATCAGCTTTCTCAGGCCTGGGACCAGAACCACCGGGGTGCATGGGAGAGTTCTGAACCAGACAGGATGCAAAGGCTATTTGGGGATAGGAAGTGTGTTGTGGAGTGTACAAATCCTAGTGTTTCACCAGAGTAGCTTTCTTTGACATTTAAAATGTCTAAATGGCACCCCAAGTTCTACTTGTCAAAGACAAGCTGTCTTTTCTATAAGCTGCCTTGAGACACTGTCCCTCTTCACCAGTCTGGACCCTGTGTTACTGTCCCAGAGATGGCCTGGTGTCCTGACCACTCACTCCACCTCCCTTCTCTACCCAAAGTCTCATCTGTATGCCACAGCCCAGTACTCTCCTGCCTGCTCTCAACTCCTGAGTAGGTGAGAGAGTTTCAGACTTAGATGTTGGCCACAAAGTCCCTAGCCAGGAAGACTTCACCCCCTTTTCTTACTTTAGAGAAGTCCTACATGTCCTTGGGCCTCAAGCTGACTGTCACCTCAGTGTCATTTGAGATTTTCCTGAGTTCTGCTCAGAAAACACTGAGACCCTCCCTGCCTATCAGGTTCTCCATCCATCACGTCTATGAATTCAAGAGACAGTCCAGGAAAGACCAGGGGTTTGTGGCCAATGGCTTGAAGGGACTCTCACAGCAAATGGCAACGGAGCTACAAACTATCATTACTACAGTTCTTTAAACACATGTTTGCCAGGATTGCTAGTCCGAGCTGAGTATTCCAGTTTCTATTTCCTGTCTCCTTTGGGTCTAGTCCTTGGGAGTTAAAGTCAGGAACTGAGATTCTATTGATAAGGTAACTGAGTCAAGCCTACCCAAGCTCTCTCACCCAGACTGAACTGCTCATCTTCTTCCCCAACTAAGATAAACAGTCTTGTTTCCTGACTTGCTATATATTTCCTCAAATGGTAGGCCTAAAACCCATTTCACATCTTATGCACAAGTCTGGCTAAAACTACGGCACCTTACTGGGGCTTTTAATAGCCAGCCTCTCTGAAAGCTGAATACTTGATAAATAAAGTAAGTAAAGTAGCCAGGCTGCTGCCTCTACAGCACCTGGGCAGCCCTTCCCCCACAGTGGCCAGGACTGTCCAGGGTACATCCTGTTTGTGGCTCACAGCCACCTGCAAACAAAGGCTCACTCTCCTCAAGTCCGCCTTTAAGCCTCTTTCCAGGATGGTGAGAAAAAGGTGTTGGGTGGGAGTTTAATAAATAAAACACGCTCCAACATCCCTCACATGCTCTTTACTTGTCCCGTCCCCAGCACCTGATCTAGGTAACATCTTTCCAACTGTTGGTTGGCCTTGCATTGCGCTTCCTGGAGGAGCTGCCTGTGAGCTACTACCAGGCCCACATTCTTTCTTTCTCCCTTTCCTTTTTAGTTAAACATAACAACCAAACTGGAATAAGCATTTGGTATTTAGAAATTAACACTCAAAAAAAAAAGCTCCGCTTTTTGTAGCAGTGTGTTGCTGCATAGTAGTTATTGCCTGCCCCACTCCACACTGGACAGCTACCTGACACAGGTGAGTAAGTCCTTAAAGTTCAGTTTGCCCATCTATATCTCAGAGATATCAAGCCAGGCCCAGCCTGTGAGGTGGGGGTGGGGATTCTGGAGAATGAAACAAGACCCTGCAAGAATGGTGCTTCCCTGAGAGGCAGCCAAGGACCAGCTGAAACAGTAACAATACATTTTTTTAAAACTGCCATTCTTTCCACTAAAGATGCAACCAAGTGTTTTCCATGTAGCTACTCTCTTCCCAATGACCATTTTCAAAGTGTGTAAACACAAGAGTACAGCTTCTCCCTCCCCACTCACCTTCAGGGCAGTGTTTTTGTTTCCTTGGAATTAATATAAAAATCCCAAGACAGGATTTTCAGATCAAAACAGCCTAGGATTTTGGACTCCTGGGTAAAGTTCCTTCCTGCACCTGCCTGAGAGATTCAGAGGAGGAAGGGCATTCTTCCAGGGAACTGGAGCACCCTTGACGGACGGCCCTCTTCCTTCTCCTGCGTTTAAAACTGTCAGGGGTAGCAACTAGCTTATAAGAACAAGAGACTTTACTACGCTGCAGAAGAAGTTTTTGTTTGTTTTTAAAGGGAAATAGGAAAAAGGGTCCAGGTTCTTACAAATGAAAACAAAAGCCAAAGGGTAGGACAGAGGACATGGCTCATCTGTCAAAATCCTCAGTAACACGTGTGAGGCCCTGGGTTCCTTCTCCTGCACCAGCCACATAAAAGTGGAGCGGAGGCACACACACTCCAGCACTCAGGAGACACAGGTAGGATGATCAAGAGTTCCAGGTCATCCTTCCCTCCATACAAGGAGAGTTCAAGGCCAGCCTGGGCTATATGACACTGTATTAAAAAAAAAAAAAATGTAAGAATGACCCAAGAGGCAAATCAAACAACCTGAGGCAGTGAGCAGCATCCATGTCTACTCTGGCACAGAAAACACACTGAAGGGGCCCAAGGCAAACCAAGTACCTCACCATGCAAGAAGGAACTCCAGGCTAAAGACAACAAGACACCACACACGTGCAGATCCTGTCACGTCCATAGGCACAGCGCTCAGCATATTATCTGCTACACTCAGTCTCAGAAAACTCACAGTGAGTCAGTGCTGTAACAATGTCCACCTCACAGCAGAGAAGCAAAGGTACTTCTGGCACAGACCCAAGCTGCACACGAAGCATATGAGGAAAGGTGCAGCCCTGAACTGCCTGGCTCCATAGCCCTTCCAGACCTCTCACCACACGCAGCAGTACACAGGTCAGGACTTGGCTAAACAAGCACTGTATGTAAATAAATAGGAAAGACTTTTTAATCTATAGAGGTCTCTGAAAATATTCTCAGTATGGTGCAGGATCAGAAGAATCCTGAGTGACATACTCACGTGGTCCCTGCCTCCCATTCCCACCTCAGGTCCAAGAGGCCACGGTGGGATCATTACCCAGAAGGAAACATCTCCAGGCTGGACACTGAAGAGCCTCTGCTGCATAGTGCACAGGGATTTGTCCCCTGGTCTGTCTTCCCTGTTCCAAGCTTTCCCTCCCAGTCCAGGACTAAAAATACTTGAAATGCTTTTATTTAGATCTTGACTCTTAAGAGTGTAATTTAGCTGTTCTGCAAGCCGGATAAAGGAAGTGTTGAGTTAGCCCCCAGTCTGGGGATAAACATGATTAAATTGTGTATTTTGCATCAATCATCTAGATTAAGAGTGCTGCTAAGGTATAGAAATGTGCCAAATTTTATCAAACATATATTTAAAATAACTGCAGTGCATTATATCAATTATATCTCAGTGAAATTCCTTTCAGAAGGCTCTTGTGGAGACAGACCTGGCACACACAGCACACGGTACAGCTCTTCATAATCGTGGGTGGAAAAGTCATTTGCATTCTAAGTGGTAACGCTGTTGTTGATGACCTTAAGATATACGGAAATCTCAATGAACCATGCAGTTCTGTAGATTCGACAAGAGAAAGGAGGGATTTAAAATGACTTACCAGAACTCATGCTGGTGGCAGGCAAGTCTTCTCCAGCTGCAGCTCTGGAGGGATCTGCAGAAAAGCACACAATGGAGCGGGTGAATGGCAGTCGCATGGTAAATCCCCACAGTTAGTGTTAAAAATGCAAACACTGTAACCCTTGGTCAAACAGAGCTGAACTGGGAGCCACGTGGCCAGGCTTCTGGATCACGGCTAGTCACAGATTCTGAGGACTTGGAGCATCTCTCTAAACGTCTTTGCTTCACTTTGTCAGTCAGACTGTGTTTCCAGGACACCATCCCAGATCTCTTCAAGCAACAAGTCAATTTAAAAAAAAAATTAACTTTGTAAATGTTCAAACAAAACAAAAGAAACAAAATACTACCATCAGAGGTTAATACATAATTGCAGATGTTTACAGTGGATGCTCACAATGTACCAGGAAATGTTCTAGATGCTTTAAATAATTTGACTCACGACAGCAAGCACTAACACAGTGTTAGTTCACGAATGAGGCACAGGGAGGTGACATAGCTTGCCTAACTATGCTGGGGTTGATCATGGAAACCAGGCAGCTTAAATCAGGGGCCAAGTGACTAGGCACTACCCTTCTCACTTATGGGTAGACATTACCAAGTGTTCAAGTGGACAGCCCTCAGAATTAAGAGGTCTCAAACCAAAGGAAGCTTACAGTGTGTAACCTTTTATTATCATTTGTCTCCAACAAAAGGTATCCCATCCGTTTTGGTTTGTTTGGTTTTGACCGTGATGAAGATCAAGCCCAGAGTTTCAGGGTACACTAACCAAAGACTCAACCTCTAAACTACATTGATGCTCAAATCAAACTGTATTAATATGCTTTGACAAATAAATTGGCTGCGGTGGGGTATGCCTGTAATCCCAGGGAGGAACATTCAGGAGGACCAGGAGTTGAAGGTCATCCTCACCACATAGTAAGTTTGAGGCCAGTCTTCACTATATAAGATGACATGTTGTGTACAAGCATGCCACTTCAATCCTGCCCAGTCTCATCTGAAGTTAAGCAGGGTTGGGCCTGATTTGTACTCATATGGGAGACTATATGTAAACACACACACACACACACACACACACACACTATAACACTTTGACAAATAAACAGACCATAGAACTACCACCAAAGTCATAACATACACCATTTCCATCATCCCCGGGAAAGGTTACTATGTCTCCTTACAGCCAAGTATGCCACACCAAGCGCTTAGGAACCACTGACTACTTACCATCCCTATGGTTTGACTGTTTTCTACGATTTTCTACGGATGGTACCACATATATGTAACCTTTTTTGCCTATTTTCTCATGTTTAATATAACCCTTTTGAAACACCAATGGCTATATGTGTGTAAGTCTCCTTCTGTACTCCACTCTATTCACTGAGCTATCTCTACCCAATAACCCACTAGTTTGATTACTACCTCCTATATAATCCTGAAACCAGATAATGTAAGTTTACCTACTTCATCCCTATTCAATATATATATATATATATATATATATATTGCCATTTTTGGTTCTTCACATTTCTCATTTGTCTTGGCTTTGTTTTATTTGTGAGACAGGATTTTACACGGCAATCCAGGCCAAACTAGAGCTCACTGTGTAGGACAGACCTGCTTCAAACTCACTGAGATCCTCCTCCTATCTTGAAATTTTTAGTGTTGATATACCCAGCTAGGTCATTTGCATTTTCATGTGAAGTTTAAATTTTTCATCATTTTTTTTTCTCAAAGAAAAGAAAGTAAGGAAAAGAAAAGAAAGAAAAAGTCTGTTGGATTTCAAACTGGGATTTTGTAGACTCTGTAATCACTTAGGAGCAAACTAATATTTCCACAATATTTGCTCCAGTTACTGGGCAAGGCCTCTCTCCCTTTAGCCAGGTCTTCCTTGTTTTCTCTCATCAATGTTTTACAGGCTTCAAAATGAAGGCCTGAGCACCAACTGGTGACTGGCCCCTCCCACACAATACACTTCACGCTTTCTGCAGTTCTGCACCTTCATCCTGGCGCCAGTATCCAAGGATACTGAAATGGATGAAATGCTAGACAAAGAATTCAGCTCTAGTGTTCAACATCATCAGAACCTCAGAGAGTCAAGTAAACAGACAGATGAAACTCAGAAGTCAATTTTGGTGAGGAATTCTACAACTTCAATTACAAATGCAGAGCCAAATTCTAAAAGAAGAATGACAGGTTAGCAAATGCAAATATCAGTAGGTCCAAACATCCCCAACTCAGTAAAACAGCAAACCTGCACAAGAATAAAATGAAGAAAAAAATCAGTCCAACCTTTCAACAACCACCTACATGTAAAGAGCTTCACTTGCCAGTTACAGATGCTAGAAACAGCTAGATGTTTTCAAAAACAAGGATAAGCTGTTTACTTCCTGCCAGAAACTCACCCACTGGCAAAGACACACACAAGTGGAAGGATGGACAATGACATCCCAAAAGAACAGCTACCGTCAACATTACAAACCCCAATGCCAGTGACAAGGCAATATACCTTTGATGGGAAAGGGCACCAGTAAGGCCACAGTGAGAACCACTGAAGAGGTCCCCCCGAGACCCCAGGAGAGAACTAGGACATGACACAGTTATATGAATATACCTCCCCATCTTTAGCCTAAAGCCGCTCTTCACAAGAGCCAGATCAGGGAAGCCTAGGTGTGTGTCAATGCATGAATGAGGAAGGTTCCAAGTCTAACAGTGAAGTAGTAATTTTCTACTAAGAATTATGTCCTTGGTAGGAAAACAAAACTAGAGATCCTATAAAGTGAAATAAACCACGCTCAAAAAAAATATGGTTTCATGCGGAGAATTCAGTTTTTATTTTTATTTTTTCAAGAAAAGGTGTAAAAGCACAATTGGAAAGATTAGGGAACCAGAGATAAGGGTCAAGAAAGATACTAGGAATAGCAGTAAATGAGACCAAAGGACATTATACGCACAAAACTGTCAAGTGTGAGGGTTATTGTGAATTATCAGCTTAACAAAACTGAGAATCACGGGCCTCTGGGCATACCCGTGAGATATCATGTTAATTGTGTTAATCGGGTAAGAAGACCTGCCCACTGTAGATGGCACTATTCCTAGACTGTAACTTCCTTAACTGTACAGAATGGAGAAAGCCAGGTAAGCACTAGGCAAGAGTTAGCTGCTCTCTGTTGTTAAGGTTTGTTTAAAAATAATAAAGATATTAATTATATCAGACGTAGAACTCAAATGTTTATTTTACATAACAAACCTCTGGTACTGGGGAGCTGGCCCAACCAGTAAAGCACTTGCCCTCCAACACGGGGACTAAAGTATATCTCCCCAGCCCAACACAAAATGCCAGGTGTCTGTAATGCCTGTGCTAGGGAGGTTGAGACAGGAGGATCCCTGAGACTTGCTGAGACTTGCTGGCCAACAAGCTAGTCAACTGGTAAGCTCAGGGTCAGTGAGAGACGCTGTCTCAAAAATAGGGTAGAAAATTGATTAAAATAGGTACCTTTCATTGACACAGACATGTACACAAACCCTCTGATACTTAGCTGTTAAAATTTACTTTTAAGCCATACTCTAAAATACAATTTGGTTGAACAAATACTGGCATACCTTCAACATCTCCCATAAACCCTTTCCCAGAACAGGAGCCTTTCGGTAAAAGCCCAAAGGAGGAAAATGACTCCACCTAGTGACAAAACCAATCAACTGCAAATGGTCATTTATTTCCTGTGGTTGCAGCAACCTAGCTTGGTTGAGTCAGCTTGGGTGGGCCAGAGAGAGACAAGCCACCAACCATCCTACACCTACCTAGAGCTGCTAGCCCTACCATACTTGGGCAACAAAGCACAGCATCAACACAGACATTCCACCCAAGAACAAGATGTGAACTAGCCGCAGTTCAGGACGATGATCCAGGTCAAGAGTTCCACCAGGGCCTCTCCGCTTCTAAGATCTGTGATTCTAAGACAAGCTTTGATGACACAGAATGAATAATCTGCTAAAAAGCAAAAGTCACACTCTTGCTTCCAGCTGAAATGGGAACAAACAGGTAAACATGAGCTATTCACTAAGAAGGAAAGGCCCTTACTTACGTGGACAATCTGGGATACGCAGCTGGAGAAACCAAATTTGTAGAAAGGAAGTCTTCCCAGAGAAGGAGGCTCAGCCTCTCACACAGCACACTCTCTTCAGTACCACAGCGTTCTGTCTCCATGATTCCTCTCTATTCCCAACGTAAGACAACACTACAAACAGTCATGAGCTTTGCCTATCCCCATTCAGCCAGGGAGACCTACCTACCTGTAGAGTCATACCTCTAAGTAGACAAGACTCCTCTACTCTGCTGCCAGCTCCCCTCAGAACAAAGTATCCGCTATGCTCAATCTTTGAAATCCAATCTGAGATCGGCTTTACGTACAAGCAGCTATTTCCACTGCCTTGAGAAGGGCAGACAGCTTGCAGAGCCCCAGAATGATGCCCAGCCTCATTTCTCTGGACTTGTTTATCCCCAGCCAGAGAGGCACATCTCTCCAATGACTCAACAGTACCTTCTCAATTGCTATTAATGCCATTTCTCTTCAAATTCACTCTCTGCATTGTTGGACGGAGGGCAGAAGGCTCTTCAGAAAGTGGAGAGGGTAACTCTGAGCTGCAAAAACTTCCTTTCAAGGGGAGGAAACTAGGATAGGGTTGGCCCCGACATTAGCTTCGATCTGGAATCATAAGAATCAGCTAGGGGCCTGGAACACAACAGGCTGGTGGTTTCTGGGGGAGGGAGTCCTAGGAAAACATGTCAAAAAGGCCACCCCCTACGTCTTCCCATTTCCTCCTGGAGTCCCTCCAACTCCGTTTCCGTTCTAACCAATTATCTGAAACGGCTTTTAGAAAGGTCTCCCGTGAACACACTCAGCCAAGTCCAACAGATTCTGTGCTAGGCAGAGCTGCTCAGGTCTACAGACCACAGTTAAGACAGTTAACTCCTTCTTCCTTCCCACAGGCACATTCTGACTCCTGCATGTCAACAAAGAATGACTTCGAGTGGGC